TGAGAACGCGTACAACTCTGTGAGTCACCACCATTGGTGGCTTAAGCTGAACGAATTGACGAGCTCCTATGTGTGCACGTGTGAGAAGTGTCAAGGGGTGAAACCCTTTTCAAATGCGGCTGCGCCGCTGGCAAGCTTACCAGTACCCACTGGGTGCTGGCAGTCCATCAGTTTGTACTTTGTGTTTGGCCTGCCGAAAGTTTCGGCGGGCAACTCGGGTGTCGTGGTATTCGTCGACCGGTTGAGCGAGATGGCTCATTTGCCGGCGGTGCCAGACACAATCGACGGGGTCGGTACAGCAACGTTGTTGGTGGATCGTGTTTCCCGAGAACACGGACTCCCAGAGAAGATTGTCTCTGATAGAGACCACCGTTTCACGGAAAAATTTTGGTCGACTATCTTCAAGGTGCTAGGCACCAAATTGGATATGTCGACATCGGATCATCCGCAGATCAATGGTCAAACCGAAATGGTGAATCGCGTCATCGACGACTTTCTTCGCAGCGTCTGCGATGAGACACCGAGGCCTCGGCTGGACCGCCGTGTTGCCGCTCGTAGAGTTTGCACTGAACAATGCAGCGCATTAGTCTAACGGCTAACACGCCGTTTTACGTGAACGGGCTGGTTCACCCTCGCGTTCCGCTGACGACGCCATCCCATGGCTTAGGGCTTAGTGGGGGGAAATAGCCGAACGGCTAGCTGATGTCAGCCTTCATACCATCGGCAAAGAAGTCGATGAATTCTTGTCTACCAGACTAAGTGTCCTACAACACGTTCACGATGCGATGGCTGAAAGCCAAGATCTGCAGAAAGAATATGCAGATGAAAAGGAAGAGGCAAAGTGGAAAGCTTAAGGTCGGAGACCTGGTTTTATCAAACTCTAAAAACCTTCCTACACATGTAGCCCCTCTGCTATCTTCCGGACGAAGCTTCGTCCACGATTTATTGGACCGTTTAAGGTTGTGGCCAAGCGGGGCCTAGCGTATACGCTAAAGTTCCCAAACGGATGCGCACCCAATTGGTGTTCGACGTGGGTTTGCTCAAGCCGTACCGGGATCTGGCGCAAGTGAATGCGGAAACTTTGGCGCCAGAGGGGATCCCACGGGCCCTCGGCCACCCAGAAACTGAACCAGCAACTGGTTCTGGTCACGGAGTGCAACAACATCCATCTCCTATGGATCCAAGCGCCTCACCGTTGCTTGCGGCGACGCATTCGCCTGCTGCACGGCTAGTAGTCGGTCCGACAGAGCGCGATAGTCCTGAAGGCGAGGCAGCCGGCGCACAACGCGCTCCAAATCATCAAGAGCGTCCGCACAGCGATATGCTACCTCAGCATGACGCTCAGCGGAGCTCCGATCACGGAGGATCTCATCCTCAAGGGCTCGAAGAGCATCGCGAGTCACCTCCCGCATCCGACTCCTCTCGATGAGAGCGGTAACGTCCAATATTACGTGGAACGTCTAGTGAGACGACGTCGTCACCAGGGTCAGACCCAATATCTGGTGAA